TCTCTATCATTTCTATACTCCCCTTTCCATTCCCCCAGCCTAGGGTAGCAAACCAGCCATGTGCCCGGTTAACATCCCTGCGTTCTCTCTTGCTGTTCTTCTTTCTTCTGGAGCATAAAGCCCATTTTTCCATCTTGAAACAATGGAGGTATTGAGTTACCCGGCAGTGATTTTTATTTCTGTACCGCGCAGCAAGCTGCGGTTATTTCTCAACTGTCAATAAATATTCTACGTGCATCTTATGCGTTATTGTATGTCACTTCTTAAAACTTTGGGCGTTGCAGCTCACTTTAATGCCAACATCCTGCTCTTGAAGTCTAGTTGCCATATTTTATATAAATTTGGCGCTCATTCGACAGACATACTACAAAATTAATTTGTATTTAATGTATTTATAAATGCTGGTTGTTTTCCAAACCAAACTTTTATTCTAGGTGTTTAGACACCCATGACACTAATTACAACCACTGCACATCAAGCAAGGGAAGTATGGGGGGTGTAAATATAATAAATATGACTACGTATTTACAACAAATAAACTTCCCTATAAATTGCTTAGCTTGACAATTAATTCATCGCAATTATTGTTTTGCGTAAGCAAGCAGCCGAGGTTTCGAAATTTCTTTGTTAACACTAAAAACAAACACACGACCACACAAAACTGCTATGTTTGCAAGCGTCGGTTACAACAATGTATTCAGTGGTGCTCAAAAGCCATTAAATGTCTGACAAAGCAAAGTCCACCTCCATGTTTAATGATATTCGCCCTGCATGTGTTTTTTTAAACATAGCAAGCCAGAACAAGATAGTAAAAGAATGTTTTATGAAACACACAGCATGCTGTGACCTCTTTATTTGTCTGTGTTCCATGATCCAGTACAAGCATTACAGACAAAATGTGTTCAAAGTAAAAACCTTTTTTTCGTAAAATGAAAAATCTCGACGTCTTGGGTGCCACTCAAACTCTCCTTCATGGCTTACTGAGGACCACCAGGAAACAAAAAAAAAAATTATAACTCCTCCAGCTCAAGCTGGGAAAGGGGGACGGGGGGGACGGGTCACGCTTGTTTTCACTGACGGGACAGAAGTCTGTCGAACCAGACAGAAGTCTGAAATGTTCGCTCTAAATTCGAAAAAAAGTGTCTTCTGCGTGCTGCGCATGATGCACATCAGTGATTTTTTTTTTACCTTCTCGCAAAAGCTAGTTTTTTTTATTCTCTTGGAACCCTTCTCCTATCGTAAAATATCCTACATAACGCGGATCTGGTAGACTAGTCCACTTCTCTAACTTCCTTACTTCCTTTACTCCTTCCTTCTTTTATTGCTTCTTTCCCTCCTCCTTATCCATGGTTGACTGCATCACTGCGGCAATAGAGCCGTTGCATTTTTTCAGTGTAATCTTTTTCAAAAGGACGCCACTGAAAAGCCATATTTACCCATAACTTTCACTGGACAGATTATTAGCTTGAAGCTGGAAATATACAATGATTGCCATTTTTCTACGTAATCTTCTTTCCTATTAATGCACTTGGCACAACAGTCAACGAATTTACGCATTTTTTACGTAAAAATACTTAAATACGTACGTGTTTTTACGAATAAAGGGTCATTGGTTGGTCGTGTAGCAACTTTTCAATCGTATTTAATACGACCTGATTCTATGACGCAAATCAGTTTTGACTGGCTCAACAAGTAAAAATTACATGAAGCTAGCCCAGAGACGTAAAAAAAAGTGCTCCAACAACGATTGTTTTGATGATTTCAATAGTGTGATTGGTAGTGTTTGGCTGTGCAATGTCATGCAACAACAAAACTTTTTTCGACAACAAACCTGGCCATTTGTGGCAAATTTCTTGTTACGTTTATTGAGAATTGCGTGTTCTCGATCCCCCAAAACATAGTCTTGCGTGACAGCGCACTTCTCCCATATTGCGAGAATAGTCTGTGAGAAATGTCTCAAACAGTGGCACCCTCTGACTCCAGTGAACGAATTACTGGTCATTGTTCTTCTTTGCTGCAAACTTCTAATCGGGCAGCCAAGATATGTCACCCACAGAAGGGAGACAAATTGAGGAATGAACTTCAAACTTTCTGAGCATTACCACAGTAGAAAACAATAGTGTATGCAAAGATAGGAGATAAACTGCGTAGTGTAAGAAAAGTTCCGACAATTTCTGACCTGCCCTTGTAAAACTAACACATCAAGAATGACAAGGCCGCTTAGCAAAACAGAAGTCCATTAGTGTGAATGTCAGCAAGCACGTCTGGGGCCCTTTGAATTTTTTCTCTGGAGCGTTTCCCTTATTGTATATCTAGAAATATTGCTTTTCTTATTTAAATGCACTATTATAGTTTAGCATTCAATACTGGGGCAATTATGCTTAAATAAACATTATTTTACCCGCTGAGGCTAGCCGCTTTAATTAGCGATGACTATTACTTATGCATTTGTATTTTTTGCTTTCAGGTATCATGGCGGCATGAATAATCGGCTTTCATCAAAAAAAAGTACCTTTCTGTCACGTTCAACGTATGCTTTCTCATTTTTTTTAAATGCGAAGCAGCTCTTTACCTCAGGTGTGTAACGCCGTACTTACGTGCGTCCATACGAACGCGCCGCAACGCATTCCCCTCGCCGCAGGTGGTGTTGGATTGGTGCCAAGTTGGTCACGCCGAAGTTGCGCGTTGACGTCAGTTCCCCTCACATGGTTTCCTCTAAGGTGCACGCTGACGTCACCCTTCCTCTCACTCGCAGCACGCTCCTCGCAGCGCTCACAGCTGCCACTTCGACGTCGCATGTTTGCAAGTACCTCTCAGCGTGAACTTCACCGATCACAATGCAGCGGTAATTGAGGCTAAACGCGTCCTTGTCCGCTCCAGCATCCGTGTCTAGAATGTTAAAAAACTACGCCTAGGAAGTCTTGCCAAACGCTTTAATGAAACTTGCAGGAAACCCAAACCACCTCCTGTGTCCTAGCGTTTCAAACAAAAATCAACTCGAGTAAATGCCACATCTTGCTTTGCTTCAAGTCGTTCTTTCAGCACCAGCATCGACTCCCGTTTCAACCGGGTCAACGCCGTGCTCACCACTCCTGCTTCGAATCCTATCATGGTTCCTTTGAGAGCGTTGGTCGATAACTTTAATCATTTTCTGTTGCCTCTGAAACTGCAGATGCAAGCTTTGTCAATCAGAGAAGGCATTGCCTTCTAACTCGTGTTCGAAGCTCTTTACCAGGAGAGAGACAGAGAAAATAAGGAGGAAGGCGGTGAGGTTAACCAGGCCTGATCATCGGGAGGCAACCCTCCACTGTGGAAGGGGAGATGGGAAGGAAAGTTATAGAACAGGAGGAAAAAGTCACTGACTCGGCCATTTAGGAATAAAGAAATGAAAACGATCGTGGACTAGTATTCGGGACGGTGAGGGCGGCAGTTTGGGCGTTGTCTACGAACGTGACTGCTTCGACTCAGCCGGAACGGAACAGACCCCACCGCAATGAGGTGCACTATAAATGGCACCCCTCAGCCAAAAGAAACGTTTCCGCTTTACGTGTGTCCTCGCCTGCAGCCAACACCTGACATTTTATATAGACTTTGTTTTTCATCTGGGTTGTCTTTGAGGAGAAAAAGTTCTGGGACATACAGTTTTTTTTACTTCGGTATTGTGACTTTTTTCGATGAACGATATCTCCCGTGTGCTTAGATTTAGGACAGTGGTTAGGGTAATTAGGCTAACAGCGCAGGACGCATCGTGCTGCTCACAACTCAACGTTTTGTTCCTTAAATAACAGTTTGAATCACATATGAAGCTGTTTCTCTTAGCAAGCTGCAGTGGTGTTGCAACTACTTCAGTTGTGTCTCGGTTCGCAATTTTCATTTGCGATGAGCGTTGGACTTGAAAAGTAACATTTCTATTAAAGTGTCGCCATGCTATCTAATTATGACATTATGCCAAAAGCTGATTAGCTCAGCACTTATTTGAACACTTTTGGCGGGTTTTCATCACCCCCTTCACCATAATGTTTCACATAGAGTCCAAATGTAAAACTTCATCCGGCGCATCTTATGTTCTGCCCTTGAGTTTTAAAAGCACGTTAACACTGGTGATATACGCGGCTTAAGCAGAGATGAAACGTGCCGGCCACCATCGCCTCATGAAGGGCACATGTGACAAAAGCACCTTAGCTCGGGACCTGCCGTCGATGCCTCCTGAAGCCCAGAGAAAACGCCCCGCACGACCATTGTCGAGCGAAAGAGCAGCAACGCCAGCACTGGGGAGGGGAGCACGCGACTGGTTCGTCCCAGGAGAAACTGCGACCTTTATTCCAAAGTGTAAGGTCGCGTGCACTGGTGCGCGTGCTATCTCGACAGACATCAGGAGCCGGCTCGTGCGCGCCATGTTCTCCCTTATTTCTTCACGTGAAGACGACACACAACACAAAAACTGCTTCTCGCCTGGGCGCGGCCGTATTCCCTTACTCCAGCATTCTGTAGAGTTACGGGAGATGGGATCCCAAAACGTTAGCTGCTAGTTTCAGGTCGCGTACAATTCTCATGCGTTGCTATCGCATTCCCTCATCCGCCTTGCAGCGAAACTATGATTTAATTTTGAACGTAGTTTTTCAAACGCAGACGTATATGAATGTTCTCAAGGAAGTCCTGGATTCCGCCTATGGCGTAAATACGCTTGTCATGACACTGAGGGGCTACACTGATACAACTGAAGAATGTTGAAGAAGCCAGAAAACCGGCCAGGTCGGTCGGTGTCGGCTTAGTTGTGCATATCTAGCTGAACTATTTGAAATATGTAATAGATGATAAGCTTTCAGTTTGTGCAGCGTCTATACCTGTTTTTGTTTTTGTATTTCAGTGCACTGTCATTATCCCATAGTTATAACTACGATACTTATTGCACTAAGATCAGACGAAGCTAATGCGTCATATACGCGAGTACTGGGAAGTTGTGCGGCCAGGGAGGAACAATAAACGACGTTTCCACTTACCGGCTTTGACATGGACGCTTCGGCTGAACACAGAACCGAGAGTGTTTGAGGCCCTGCATCGGTATCGGGACGCGTGAACCTCCTGGCGGTAGTCCTCTCCGCGGAAAGGGAAGAATTCCAGCGTGCCGTCCGGTCTTCCACGGCGCAGACCAGGAATATGGTCGATAGGCGAGCCACTCTCGTTAGTCCAGCTGATAACGGGTCGGGGTTGACCGGAGGCAGAACAAGAAACCAGAGCCCCGGTCATGTTGGAAAATACAACCTGCACTGGTGGCTCATGAAGGAACGCCGGTGCAGCCATACCACCAGACGTGGGTGGTGGGAGATCGGCTCGCGCACCTGCAAATGGAAATAAGAAAACATTACTGAATGTATATTTAGACGCAAGCTGTGGTATAGTGCATGTTTGCTTGCGTCGTCTTTTTTCAATTTTATTAGTATTTACATTATAACATTTTACTTGAACTTCATAGTTCTGTAAGTGGTCATCTTGCTTGCAATTGTGTTTCGATCTTTCTTTTCTGATACTTACTTGTTTGTTTTGCTGTTTTTATAACAACATTATTCAGCGGGCAGAAAGTCCCATTTTTCCTGTGGCAGGCATATATTCCGCGAAGCAAACAGTATAATGATTATGTCTTAAAAACGAAATGAACCTTAGGTTACTTCATATGTTAGGCTGTAACACTGATACTGAAAAGGCAAACAACTTATCGACGGAAAGAGATCAGCTCGGTATAAGAAAACCGGGAGATTTTACGTTTGTATTATGTCTCGCTCAGTCAGAAGCCGAGGTAAAACGTGTTCCAATTGCGCCATCTGCAAAAGTGATACATGTCAAGTTATCAGTAGAAAGAAAATGTTGATGTCAGTGATGTCAATTACATGTTTATAGTTGAAATTAGGGTTTTGAATTGGTAAAATATATTAGAAAACTTTCACCAGGCTTTCGTTCTTTAACATGCGCTGTTTTCTTTCATAACAAATGCCAAGAAACATATTCATACATATTTGCTAAAAAATGATCACTCTGTCGAATCGACAATCTTATAAAAATATCTGATAACTAATGGTTTTGAAAAATTCTGAATTCAGTTTCGCATTTGCATTGACATGCCTGCAAAATACACCAAGTAGGACATTACGATCATACAGCCACAGTCCTGATGGTAAGAACTCTGCAAACTGATGAAAAACAAAATTGCGCGTAGTACTACAACGACAAGGCTACAACTGTTCTTCGATTGCAGGCAAAGGGTAAAGTGTTAGTACAGGGAAAACGTGTGAGGAATAGAGAGAAAAATTGGAAGTCCCACTAATTTGTGTAGAATGAAGTGTACGCAGAAATTCAGTCTTTCATAAAATTCCCCGATTACGTGCGTGCTGTGCCATCATCATCATCATCATCATCAGCCTGTCTACGTCCACTGCAGGACAAAGGCCTCTCCCATGTTCCGCCAGTTAACCCGGTCCTGTGCTTGCTGTTGCCAATTTATACCCGCAAACTTCTTAATCTCATCTGCCCACCTAACCTTCTGTCTCCCCCTACCCCGCTTCCCTTCTCTGGGAATCCAGTTGGTGACCCTTAATGACCAGCGGTTATCCTGTCTACGTGCTACATGCCCAGCCCATGTCCATTTCCTCTTCTTTATTGCAGCTATGATATCCTTAACTCCCGTTTGTCCCCTAATCCACTCTGCTCTCTTCTTGTCTCTTAAGGTTACACCTACCATTTTTCTTTCCATTGCTCGCTGCGTCGTCCTCAATTTAAGTTGAACCCTCTTTGTGAGTCTCCAGGTTTCTGCTCCGTAGCTAAGTACCGGCAAGATACAGCTGTTATATACCTTCCTCTTGAGGGACAGTGGCAATCTACTTGTCATAATTTGAGAGTGCCTGCCGAATGTGCTCCACCCCATTCTTATTCTTCTAGTTACTTCAATCTCGTGGTTAGGCTCTGCGGTTATTACCTGCCCTAAGTAGACAGTCTTTTACAACTTCAAGTGCACTATTACCTATCGCAAAGCGCTGCTCCTTTCCGAGGTTGTTGTACATTACTTTCGTTTTCTGCAGATTAATTTTAAGACCCACCTTTCTGCTCTCCTTGTCTAACTCCGTAATCATGAGTTGCAATTCGTCCCCTGAGTTACTCAGCAATGCAATGTCATCGGCAAAGCGCAGGTTACTGAGGTACTCTCCATTAACTCTTATCCCTAACTGTTCCCATTCTAGGCTTCTGAAAACGTCCTGTAAGCACGCAGTGAATAGCATTGGGGAGATTGTGTCCCCCTGCCTTACACCCTTCTTTATTGGTATTCTGTTGCTTTCTTTATGAAGCACTATGGTAGCAGTTGATCCCCTGTAGATTTCTTCCAGAATGTTTATATATATTTCATCTACGCCCTGATTCCGCAGTGTCTGCATGACGGCTGATATTTCTACTGAATCAAACGCCCTCTCGTAATCTATGAAGGCTATGTATAGTGGTTGGTTATACTCTGAGCATTTCTCTATTACCTGATTGATAGTATGAATGTGGTCAATTGTTGAGTAGCCTGTTCTAAATCCTGCTTGTTCCTTTGGTTGATTGAATTCTAATGTTTTCTTTACTCTGCTAGCAATTACCTTTGTAAATAGCTTGTATACTACAGACAGCAAGCTGATCGGCCTGTAATTCTTCAAGTCCTTGTCATCTCCTTTCTTATGTATTAGGATGATGTTAGCGTTCTTCCAAGACTCTGGTACTTTTCCCGTCAGGAGACACCTCGTAAATAGAGTGGCTAGTTTTTCTAACACAATCTGTCCTCCATCTTTCAGCAGATCTGATGTTACCCGATCCTCACCAGCAGCTTTGCCTCTGTGCATGCTCTCCAAAGCTTTTCTGACTTCTTCTATCATTACCGGTGGGGTGTCGTCTGGGTTACTGCTAGTTCTTATAGTATTAAGGTCGTGGTTGTTTCGGCTACTGTACAGATCTCTGTAAAACTCCTCCGCTATTTTAACTATCCTATCCATATTGGTAGTTATTTTGCCTTCTTTGTCCCTTAGTGCATACATCCGCCTTTTGCCTATCCCAAGTTTCCTCTTCACTGCTTTGACGCTTCCTCCGTTTTTCAGAGCGTGCTCAATTCTCGCCATGTTATACCTTCTTACATCGCATACTTTACGTCTATTAATCAACTTCGAAAGCTCTGCCAGTTCTATTTTGTCTGTTGTACTTGACACGTTCATGATTTGACGCTTCTTAATTAGGTTCTTCGTTTCCTGGGAAAGCTTGCCGGTGTCCTGTCTAGCTACCCTGCCTCCAACTTCCACTGCACACTCCGTGATGATACTCGTCAGATTATCATTCATTGTATCTACGCTAAGGTTGGTTTCCTCGCTAAGAGCAGAGTACCTGTTCTGCAGTGACACTCTGAATTCCTGTACTTTCCCTCTCAGTGCTAGCTCATTGATTGGCTTCTTGCGTATCAGTTTCTGTCGTTCCTTCTTCAAGTCTAGGCGGAATCGAGCCCGTACCATTCTATGGTCACTGCATCTTACCTTGCCAACCACTTCCACATCCTGCACGACTCCTGGGTGTGCAGTCATTATAAAGTCTATTTCGTTCTTATTTACGCCATTAGGGCTCCTCCATGTCCACTTGCGGTTTTCTCGTTTTCGGTAGAAGGTATTCAAAATACGCAGATTATTGCGTTCTGCGAATTCTACTAGTAACTCTCCTCTGGCGTTTCGAGTGCCGATGCCATAATCTCCTACTACTGTCGATGCCATAATCTCCTACTACTGTCTGATCGTACCGGCTTAAAGCCGGTACGCACCGATGATCTCAACAGAGAAGGATTGGCCACCCTGGTGCAGTATCTGGCCACCCCCTCCCGTAGGCATTCGTCAATTAACTCACGGCCCTCAGTCCCCACCAGCTGCGAAGCAACTGACCACGGCGGCGGTCAGATCTGCAAAGCAGCAGAGGGTGCTAAGAATCTCTGGATACGGACAGGCCACCATTGGAACTTGAACTTAGCAACGTTTAACGTTCGAACGTTATCTAGTGAGGGAAGTCTAGCTGCATTATTCGAGGAGCTAGAAGGCATTAAATGGGATATAATAGAGCTGAGTGAGGTTAGGAGGACAGATGAGGCCTATACTGTGCTACAGAATGGGCACGCCATTTGCTATCGGGGCTTGGCAGACAGAAGAGAACTGGGAGTAGGGTTCCTAATTCACAGAAACATAGCTGGCAACATAGAGGATTACTATAGCATTAATGAAAGGGTGGTAGGCATTGTAATTAAACTGAATAAAAGATACAAAATGAAGGTAGTACAAGCTTACGCGCCTACATCCAGCCATGATGACGCTTTAGTTGAAAGCTTCTATGAAGACGTGGAATCGGCAATGAGTAAGGTGAAAACACAGTATACTATAGTAATGGGCGACTTTAATGCAAAGGTAGGGAAGAAGCAGGCTGGAGACCAGGCAGTAGGAGATTATGGCTGTGCCATGGAACGCTCAAAAATCATAACTATATGCTTCTTTGTATATACATTTCTTGATCTCGTAGTACTGCCAAAATAGGCGTAACGTGACTGTAAATATATTCACTTCGAAAATTTTTTTCTTTTTATTTTATTTATTTTTTCGCCACAGAAGAGCAGCACATGCCCAGTTTAAAATTTGCAGAGACAGTGTCTTAGATCAGTGGTTAGTTTTCCATATTGCTCGACCGACAAGAAGTGCAGTGCAAAACACGTTATTTGAGGCACACCCTTTCTAAGTACTACAGAAAATGGTTAGGGAGGCTGAAACAAATCACAAATTACGTAAAGCAAGATTGCTGATTTCAGTAAAATAGCAGAGTTTCATTATTTTCAGCATGCTGTCAGACGCTCAGTCATCACCACAATAGAAAACACATGTCATTTGACGTCATCACCATCATTATGCTAACCACGTAGCTTAATATTAGTCTAACTGCATTAAAGACGTTTGAAGTTAACAGCGTTTGGCTCTATAAGATTGTTCACAAACTTTTGACGATAAATAACTGCTTATCTCTCACACTAATCTTCTAAAATTTCAAATAGAAAAGAAACACGAGCGCCTGTTCTCGAACGCTGTCTCACCGAACTAATGCCGGAGGCATCCTGGAGCTCCTACAGAAAATGGGCATTGTTCGTGTGGTCCTTGCAGTTTCGCAGGAAAGAAATGAGTTACTTCGAAAATTAGTCGTGCTTTTGCGTGTCTCCGACCCTCCGCACTCCCGCAACTATCGAGCGCAACTGCACCCGACGACGACAGAAACAGAGGGGGGGGGGGGAATTCGCAAGTAGGTTAATTAG